GAAAATACAGGGGTTTTTTCATTGGTAGTTCTACTCAGTCTTTAAAAGCTTTGGTACTTTTGCAAACTTTATGCCTCAAAGCAGGACAAGTGAAAATCTAAAACCAATGATCAGCAAGTTCCCTTTCCACCAAGGGGTGAATGTTTACCTGTTTGGTGTTAGTTAACAGGAACATTGTCTGTTCATCTCTTTAACCATGACAGATGAATGAAGCCTCTTAACTAAGCAATCTTGGATGGAAATTCCTCAAAGATTTTGCATCCATGCAAGGACAAGTTCACAAATACTCTTAAGATACTTCCAAACTGAGCTTTAATGTGCTACACCTTTTTTCACTCACTCTAATCAGTATATTTTTGTCTGGTTAGAAAATTATCAGGTGTCTTTTGGGCACTCAGTCTTTCAGAGAGAGTAGGTTGCCCCATGCCCTTGGCATTGTGAATTGTTGGCCATTTGTTGAAAACAGGGCAAAACCTTGAAGCAAATTGGTTTCCCTCAGGTTCTTAAATCCAGAGAGCTTAAATGTTGTCACTGCTGTGGCTGAGAGGGCTGTAACATCACTGGCATGATGTAACATTAAGGAGAGCAAGCCCTGCTCTCTGCCTTCCTCGACCTGAGCTGTTTGTGCCCAGATCAGTGCGGTTGTGGTTCCCGGTTCCCCTCTCTGTCTCTGTCAGTTCCTCTGTCAGGTCAGTCTGCAGATCCACCCCAGTGATGATGGGTGGCTGTCCTGCCTGGGGACCTTGGGATCTGCAGTGGTGTGTTTAGCTTGGTTGGTCAGCTGCATGTATGGACCAGAGGGATATGAGGCAACGGAGACTCTTATCCAGGTGAGATCTAACTATCATCTTGTGAAGAGTCCAATCCTTTGTGACTGTGCCTATTCTGCAAGTAGCAGGAGGATTGCGCAAGACCCAAATAATATGCCTGGAAAGCTGGAGATGTGCCTTCTGTCCCCTTCTGGAAGCAGCTGCTTGAGGTGGTGGAGTCACCATTCCTGGAGGTGTTCAAGAAACAACTGAACATGGCACTTAGTGCTCTGGTTGACATGGCAGTGTTATGTCATAGGTAGGACTCGATGATCTCAGAGGTCTTTTCCAACCTTAATATTCTGTGATTCTGCGCTTGGCTGTGCCACATGTTGCCGTGGGACAGCAGAAATATTGCTTAATTCTTCCAAACATTTGCTTCTCTGTTTCTTTGATGGTGACTTTGGTGGTCTGAACAGAGTTTGGAGGCTGCTTTTAAGATGCAGTTACTGGAGAAAGGAAACCAGCCTCATATTGGAGAACCTCCAGGGCTTGAAGTCCAATAGCTTGATTTTTTTAGGACTGGAATCTGATGCATGAGTGAGGTGTGGTGGGATAATGCCCTTCTGCTGGCTTTGCTTAGCTCTTGCTAACACTGTGCGGAGCAGGTGGGGCAGTCAGTCTGGGCACATTTTTCCATGTGTATGCAATATAAGAGAATCACAGAAGCATTCAGGTTGGAAAAGACCTCCAAGATCTTCAAGTCCAACCTTTGTCCCATCACTACCTTGTCAACTAGACCAGAGCACTAAGTGCCACGTCCAGTTGTTTATTGAACACCTCCAGGGATGGTGACTCCACCACCATTCCAATGCCTGACAGCCCTTTCCATGAAGAAATTCCTCCCAATGTCCAACCTGTTATGCTTGTGGTTAATGCCTTGTCCAAGGGTTGTGGTCAGTTGTTGCCTGAGGATGTTCCTTGCAACTGCTATGATGTTTTCTATATTCGTGCCTCCCGGGATCAGTGCCTCCAGGTGCTTCACACAGGGGCCAGACAGATGTGTGGGCCCTGGGTTGGGTTGCCTGCAGAGCTGCTGTCGGGCAAGTTGTGATCTGATCCCTGCTGTTTTGTCTCAATTGGTCCATCAAAACCCTTCTTCCTTCCCTGGGTGGTGGTTGTGCACTTATTGAAAGTGTTTCTGTCTCCTGGGGAGAAGGCGGAGTATCCCACACCTTTCACAGCATGCTGCTCTGCCTGGCAATGGGCAGAGCAGTAGCCAGCCTTGATGACAAGGGTGTCCCTGAAGGGTGCTGGAGCATGACTGCTCACAGCATTCGCCCTGGGTGCATTGTGAAACATGACCATAGCCAGTTCACCATGCAGTGACTGATGTCCCTTCCACCTGCTCCCAGCAGCCTGCAGTTCTGCCAAAGCAGCTCTTGTTCTATCCAGTCTGCTGCTGGGAGCCCAGCGGAGGGAAGAGGATGAAGGGACAGATTATTTTTTTCCTGCAGTGTTGCTCAACACCCTCTTAAAAAACAAAGCATTAATCCAAAACCTTGACCTCAACACTTGTTTTTCTTGATGTTCTTGAGATGCTTAATAGAGCTTCTTGGAAAGTCAGATTACATCTTCCAGGACTGTCCCCTGCCTTGTCATCTTACTTAGCATGGGTGGGAAAGAAGGAGAGTTTGGGGAATATACAAAAGGTTGCAAGGTTTCTGCTTGATTGTGGTGGACAAACTGAGTCCTCTCCCATGAAAAGTGCTTCTGTAAGCATTGCCTTGGGAGAAGAGGTTTAGATTCATGTGTGGTCTGTAGCACACCAGGAAAAAAAAACACCCGAAAATTGTTTTTTGTGGTTTGAAAGTTATGGTAATATCTTGGTTATATTTTGTCCTTAAATTCCTGTCTGTTGTATGCTGAGATACAAGCAGCAGTGGAAAGGGATGTCTGGGCCAGTTGGGGTGAGGAGCGTGTTCCCTGCTGAGGACTGAGCTGTGCCCTAAACCAAGCTGACATAAGGGGAGGTGTGTTTTTATGAGCTGAGTGTTGTAAAGAGTGTCATTGAGTCACTCTGTGCTTTTAGTAACCGCTTTCCTCTTATCACAAGCCATGACTAAGGTGCTAGTGTGCAATTCCCCACTCATTCACCCTGTGGCACCGTGGCAGAGTATTTCTTGGCATTCCTCACAGAAGCACTGTGGATGGATAAAACTTTCAGTGAGGACCAGGCTTTGGCAAGAGGACACAAGAGGCAGGAGCCCGTGAGCCTCTTTGGGGTGAAGGAGAGAGCGTGCATTTGACAGGTCAGTGGTGGTGCTTGTGGGTTTGCTTTCAACTGTTTGGAGCTGTTGGTAGATTATTTCCAGCACAGGAAGGACCAAGGGGCAGGGCTGGAGCTGGCTTTGCTCCTCCCTGGGTTCCTGGGAAGTCCCAGCAGCCAGGCATGGCTTTCCTGAGCCCTTTCGGGGGAGTTTTTGGGAATTAAGTGTGGGAGGAGGTGGCCGTGCTGCATGCACCAAGTGGGGAGGATCAGGGAACCTCTTCCAAGAACACAGCAGGTTTTGCTCCAGGCAGGGTGGAGGTGGGGAGCTGTGATGGGTGCGGCCGCCACTGAATACTGAGCGCCAAATGTTGACCACATAAGCAGAGAATCAAGCATTTTGGGTAGCTTGGGGAACAACATGGGTGTGTGGCATAGGTGCAGGAATGTGCTGTCTGGGGTGAAAGCAAAGGCCTCCTTGGCGGGTGGGTTTTGTAGTATTGGCAGGTTTTATTTCTTCTTCCTGGATTACTTTTGTGCATTTGTGTTGCCTTAACCAAGAGGCAGAGAGTCTATGTGACAGACCCATCTCTGTGCTTTGGGAGAGGAGGGATACCTATCACAGAGTCCCTCCACACTCCAGGGATGGCACTTCGGGAGAAGAGGGAATCCCTGCCTAGGCATCTATTTAATTGCTCAAAGTCAGGCAAATCTGAGCAGTAAACCTGTGGTCAAGTCGTTTTTATGTCCATGGTCCCAGACAGATGCATATGAATTGGGTGGGATAAAATCTTCCTCCCCCAGCAGTCTCTGCCAGCCCAAGGTTTAGGGTGCACCCTGGACCATGGAGGAGAGGTGGGATGTGACACAGCTGCAGCCAGGCACGCAATCCACAGTTTTGCAATGCCCTCAGATGTTGGGGCTGAGGTCCCTTCTGTGTTTTCGTGCATTGCCTCAAGGGCATGTGGAACTTTTCTTCACATTGGTAATGTCACAGCTAGATGACAGTGCTGGAGGCTTTCCTGGCCATTTGGAGTGGGTTTGTGACCATCGCCAGTGGACAGTAGAGCCATCAAGGACAATCCATGCCTAATGCAAGGAGTAGGGGCATGGGCTCTGCTGTCACCTTTCCCAGGTTGGACTAGATGACCTTTTGAGATCCCTCCCAGCCTGGACTGTTCTACGATTCCCACCCGAGCCCACTGCCAAGTGCTGCAGCTGTAATCTCTTGCAGTGTTATCTTTGGTGGAGGTTAACCCAAGATTACCTCCTGGCCACAGACATGCGAGCGAGACCTGGTCTGCCCTGCAGACAGAAGCTGTGAGAAGGCAGAGATGCCTGCAGCAGGTTGGGGGGTGCCTTGGCCCCACCGTCTCTCCTGATCAGGCACCCCCTTTGCTTTTCCATGGTTGGGAGGGATTGGGGGAACAGGGGAAGATGACAGCTAGCAGAGTGGGGTGCATTGTTGACTTTGGGGTTGGCAGGGGTGACAGGAGGCAGTAATGGGGTGGTGTTTCACCAGGAGCATCTTGTCTGCATTGCAGCAGAAGCATTGCAGTGCTCCCCTCCTCACACTTCAGTAAGGACCTTGTATACTATATTAACTTCCCTCCTTCTTCCTCTTTAGGAGATGAATTAAAATGCAGCACACCACGTGCACGGAGGACAGGATCTACCACGCACTGGAAAGATGTCTACATGGGCTTAGCAGAGATGCTGTCTCCAGCAGATGGGCTGGTAGGTGACCTGTTAACTGTGAGCTGCTGCTTCTCTCTGCATGATCTGCTGACCTACCTGGGCACCTGGGTAAGAGAGAGCTTCTGGTGCTACTGGTGGCTTGGAGTCCACTTCCAGTGTTCAAAGTTAGAGGTAGCATCCAACCTAGTCTTCCTGAGTCTCTTGCTGTAGTAAGAAGATATTCCAAGACACTGCACAAGTCATGTTAGGTCTGATCTATGTAAAGACTCAGCAGAGAAGTCATGGGTGTTGCCAGCTGACCATGCGTGACCTGGAAAGAGGAGGAGTCTTTGTTCACCCTGAGGAAAGACTCCTTTGTGCAACCAGCCAGCCTTGCCTTGTTTTGATGCTCAGAGTCCCCAAACCATGGGCATAATCTCTGCTGCATTATCTGGAGCAAGCACAGAGATACTGTTATTGCCTTGTTTTAAACCTGGATCAGATACTGTGGTGGCCATAAAGATGTGAGTCATGTTCAGAGGGCTGCGAAAGGATTTGGGATGACAGTGGTAAGGACAAAGCAGCCACAAGCAGAAGTACTTTTTGAATGTCATTTTGACCTTTCTTCCTTATGATTGTGAACTGCAATTCAGTCACTCCCAAATCCTCTTGCAGATGAAGGAAATGAAATGAATTTTGGGGGCTGTCAAATTCAGATTCCTTTTTGCCTGTGCAGTTCTTTCAACCCTTTCTGCTTTTCTTTTTACCTGTAAGTCAACACAGAGATGCAAATGGTACCCTACCTGCTGCCAATAACCAGAGCAGCCGCTCCTCCTGTGCCCGTTTCCTCACACCCACCAGAGCCATGCCAGTTCCTATTCTGTCTTGCAGTTCTTGCAGTTATGACCAAGACTCCTTGATCCTTGTCCTTTTTATTTCCCCATGCTCTGGAAAACAGGCCCTGAAGCGTGACCTACATTCCTGGTTCTTGAAAGCGCGACCTCGCGCTTGGCACTGTGACAGTGCGTGTCCAGAGGACTCCATCTTGCCAAGCAAGTCATTGTGTGCCACAGAACTCACATCTTCCTGTAATTACAATTAATCAGTTCCCGTGTCACTCACAAACTCTAATCCCAGCCCCTCAGCACTGGTGTTTGTGTTAGGGATGCCTTTAAACAACGACTTCATAATTTTTCTGGCCCATTACCAAAGCCCAGACTGTACGGGGCAGCGGTCGGGGCTCTGCTGGAGACAGCTCTGCTGCCCAGGGATTCCTCAGTTTTAATGATTTCCTCCATCTCTCCACCTGCTGGTTCTCAGTCCTTCATGTGGGTTTC